AACAATCAATCAATCAATCAATCAATCAATCAATCAATCAATCAATCAATCAATCAATCAATCAAAAAAAATAAAAAAAGTAAAAGAAAAAAAACGAGAAAAGCTGGTTTTCCCGTTTTTTTTTTTTCACTTTTTTTTTCCTCTTTTGATTGATTGATTGGTAGGGGATGGGTCGCCCCCCCAACCCCCACCCAGTCACACACACACACACACACACACACGGGCAACTGCCCGTTTTTTTTTTGCTACCGAAGTTTTTTTTTCCCTTTTTTGTCTCGTTTTTTTTTGTGTTTTTGTTTTTGTTTTTAATCCTTTTTTAGGCTAAAAAATCGCAAAAAAAATATGGGGTCATAGGTCTCGAAAAGATCTACAACCCAATTTTTATTTTTATTTTTATTTTTTTTTTGGCCCCTGGAACACCTTCGTACGACCGTCGTCCGTACGCCCGTACGGGCATACGTCCGTCCGTCCGTACGGGCCGTACGGAGACCCCCCGTACGACGTACGGGGGACGACACAGGCCCAGCGCCAGTCTACCCCGCGACCTTTGGCCTTAAAGTTTCGTGATGGTGATCATCGATGAGCCCCACGACACCATCGTTTCGTAAGGAGGGCGATGGAATTGTCCTTTAACAGTTCTGGGCACTGCTCGTTCGTCGCCGTCCACCAAGCACGAGTGTGTGTTTATAAGGATGCGATCGTCCTTGCCAAAGGCACGACTGAGCTCCAAACGCGCGCATCACGGTACACACACCAGCCTTGTCGTTGTGTCGCCTTCACCTACTCCTGCCTCCTCTCCCCGCTTGTTCTTCTCCACGGCACGAAGGTAGTCGCACGTTGCACTCCGCCTTTGTGGACGATCCGCGCCTTCCAGCGGGTTCGCTGTGACGTGCGCGCTCTACGAGCTCCAAACGCGCACATCACGACATTCCGCGGTCGCCGCGGGCGGGATCCCAACCGTGGGTGGTAAAATGGCCCGCGGACACGACCGCGGGTGATACATAGCTTGGCGCCACTTTATGTGTCCGTGTTCAACGTCGTCGTCGTCTTCCTCGCCGCCTTCATCGCCTTTCTCACCATCCTCGCTTTTGTCGCCATCGTTGTCATCGTCGCCACGATCACGGTCGTCACCTTGCTAAGTGCACGGGGCCATCCACCATCATCGTCGCAGCATCCGCCGTGGGACATCTGAACGTCATCGTCACGTTGTTCCACCGTGGAGTACGCAGCTCAGATTCGTCATTGTCAACGCCATCATCGCCACGTTCGTCGTCTTTCCTGTTGTCTCCGTCATCGTCTTCATCGCGGTTACGAGTCGTCGTCGACAACGTCTTCCGGGCCGTCGACGACAGGGACGACATCATCGCCATACCCACCATCACAGTCGAGACGACGATCCGAATCTGACGACACGTTTCGCCATCGCCGCAGAGATCTTGACTTCGCGGGTGATCAAGCTTGAAGTGAATGTGTCGTGCGTCGTGTGTCATGTCATCCCGCGGTTCTGGACGCGGCAAGTCCGCCGCCAATCTGGCAGTAGATTCGGAAGCGGCTGCTTGGGAGAAAAAGGGTTGCCACGTCGCGAACAAGAAGAGGAAGCTTGTCCAAGGCGGCTCCTCACTTGTAAGGTATGTCGAGGATGAAGAGTGGGTGTCGGAGGGGGTGGCGTCGCAGGTGGAAAGCGACTTCGAGGAAGAGGAGGAAGTGTCGTTGAAGCGAAAGTCCTCGAGGCGGGGAAGTGGAGGCCTCCGCATCGAGGACGTTGGCGAAAGACGGGGCGGAGGAGGCCGCGCAATAATGGAAGACGTCATTGACGTCGACGGCGCGGCGGCATCCAAGCAAGGCGGGGGAACTGCCGTCGCACAGAAAATCGCGCTCTCGTGCCACGTGTGAATGATGGCCCGGCCACGCAAGAGGGTGTCGTCCGCGCACGAACACCAGCAACCCCACGGGCGATGACGGCTACAGACGTTGGCGTGAACGCGCAAGCCATCGCTCAGGGGAACAAGAGCCGCTCTCCTGCGCTGGAGGTGCGCGGGGCCGCACCGGGGGGGGGCTTCACACGCGGGGAAAGGGGCGAGGGCAGTCGGGGCCGCAGCGGAGGGGGCTGCTGACGTGGGGGAAGGGGCGAGGGCAGGCAGTGGCGAAGCGGGGGGGGCTTCGCACGTGGGGGAAGGGGCGAGGGTTAAC